TCTTTATTAAGAGAAGAATACAAGCGAATCCGGATCTCAGCGTTTGCAGATGAGAACAGCTCTCAGGTAAACAATAATCCTCCTTAGACACGTAAGTTATTGTTGTCGAGCGTCGCGTACACTGTTAATCCACACGTGACTCCAGCTGAGCTCTCACAGAGAGAAAATGAAAACAAAACTTAACTGCAGCAAACTATAAAAGCAACACTTCACGCTTGTTTTGCCAACACAACGTGGCGTCTCTGTCGTCTAAACACTGTGACAGTAATGAATATTAATGAAGTTGCACAATAGAGCGCGCTGATTGGTTTGAACCAAGCCTTACTCATGCATTAATGCAGCACACTGTAAGACGTAATAAGACACACTCTGGCACAGACGTCCAGTCTGCACGCTGGAATACACACTATTATGTCATGACCGTGACGCAGCTTCAAAAATTAGTTTCAAACCGGAAGTACGAATTTGCTTGAAATAATGCAAAAACAACCAATTTACACTTTTTAGTGAAATATAGGTCTCCTAATAGTGTTTTTAGCAGTGTGGGACACATATACGACTGTCAACAGCTCAACAAATGTGTTCTGGTGTTTCGTGACCCTTTAAATGCGATTTATTTTCAAAATTTTCCAAAAAAAGTGTAATTAATTAGTTAATTTTTTTAATCGATTGACAGCATTAATATTCTCACTTTCAGTTTTGCGTTCCCCTTCATCAAACCTAGCAAAGAAGCTATTTAAATCTTCTACCATGGGTGCAGCTCGTGATAAACATGCCTGTTTGCATGACACTGTTCATTCCTTCCCATGCCTTCATAGCACTACCTTTAATCAACTTATCCTCAATCTTGTCTTTAAAAGCCAATTTAGCTGCCTTAATTTGACCCCTTTGTAAACCAGAACCTATTATTTGGGTACATCTAATTGCAATTGTAGTCCTAACACAATTACTTTCACAAAAACGTTTTGTAGGATGTAATGGTATCAGTAGTTTCATGTACATTTCCACATGCATCAAAAACTTGCCACTGTATCTTCAAAGCAGTCCCTAAGTTCCTCTTTGCTCTTATCTGTCCATAACAATTAAACCCCTGTCCATAACACACACCCTCATGATTGTGAAGCGCTGTGGGTGTATGGCCATACACAATAAATGCGCTATATAAATACACATTACAGTACATGTAAATACTAAAACTGCAGCGCTTTGCTCAGTGACATCTCGCCTGACATCTCGCCTCATGTATCCGTCATCAGGATGGATGAAGACATGCATGAAAAGAAAAACTGTATGAAAATCAACCTTAAGTGCCCGTCATTTCTCTTCAGCTTCAGCAAAGATCATTCTCCTCATTTGCATTTCGGCTTATTTGTTTAGTAAATCTATGAGAGAAGTGAAGAAGGAGCCGAGAAAAGCAGTTCTCAAACTCAAGTGATGTGTCAGATATATTCAGCCGGTGGATATAAAGACAGACGGACTGCAGAACATGGCTTTATTCAATACAGAACATCACTATTTACTACATATACTTCAGTATGCCAGTGAAAATAAGACAGACAGATGTTCAGCTCATCACAGGTGCAGTATATCAACCTCACTCACAGAACATCACTTGATTTACTACTTCAGAACAATGCTTGAGTTACTACTTTTACTTAAAGTTTATGTCTTTTGTCTCGTCCAAATATCTATAAATACTCAAATCAAGAAGCATTTTCTAGACATTAAATCATATGGTCTTGTTTTCAGAAACTGCATGTCAGAAGTGAGTTTTTCTTTTAAACAGGCAAAATAATCTGCCAATGGGGTGAGCAAAATACTTCAACCTGAAAACAAGATGACTTTGCTCACTCCTCTGGCAGGTTGTTTTGCAGGGAGAATAAGAACTGCATGTATAGTTTGTCCTTTTGTATTGTTTTGTTCATGTATAGTTTTGTTATAAATTTTTTTCTTATATATATATATACATATATATATTTTTTCTAGCATGTATAATTTGCCTTTGTCAATGTACGGTTTGTTTTTCCTGCTGATGGGTGTAATATAATATATATATATATATATATATATATATATATATATATATATATATATATATATATATATGTGTGTGTGTGTGTGTGTGTGTGTGTGTGTGTGTGTGTGTGTGTGTGTGTGTGTGTGTGTAATTTATTTGTATTACTTTTGTGTCTTTATTTTTTATTAGAAAAATGTTTAGACTAACAACATATTAATCAATCTTTTTCTTTTGTATAATAGCACATGTTGACCTGACACACTTCCTCTTTTTCACTGTGCTGCATACTTTTAGAGGAACTGCTGACCACAGGGAATATATTAAAAAAATAAATTTAGCTTTTGTTCCAGACTTCGGTCTGGACATGACACAAGTTGTCTTGATCCTTGTAGAAGTTGTGAAAAATATTCAAGATGCACGTAATTGTTCAGTTCTGGTATGCAGAGAAGGGTTGCAGAAAGAGGAAGTATGTCTGGGGGTACAAGAGCCAAAGGACTGAAGAATGACTGATAAGTGATGCTGGAATACGAAAATGGATGTTAATTGCAAACCTCTTGAATGTAATTCTTGTATTGCATTGGGGTAATGTAACCCAGAGGTCTGTCATTGAATTATTCATTTGTGTCTAATAAATTACTAATATTTTTGGCATTGAAAAAAACATTGAAAAAAAAAACACCCATGGAATTGGCTTGATATTACAATATATATATATATATATATATATTTTTTTTGTATATATATATATATATTTTTTTTTGTAGTAAATATATATATATATATATATATATATATATATATATATATATATATATATATATATATATATATATACAGTGCTCATCATAAAGGGGTTTGCCTCATTTAAAAAATGAATAGTTTTATCGTTTCTCCGTGAATATAGGTCATATAGTTTGCTGCATTTGAACAAAACAGATTTATTAAATGGATTTATTTGTTAAAACAATATTTTGGTCATCTAACATCTTAAGAAATAGAAAGATAATACGTTTCAATTCATGTGAAATATTGGGAAAAAACTTATAAATTCAACTTACTGTAGGCTCATTCTGAAAGCATAGCCCTATGTAAATTTCTGGAGATGGTGAAATATGTAGCCGGAGGTATGAACGGCTGCATTTCATCTTTAAAACGAATGCTACCGGATGGTATGACGCCGTTCCTTTTCGCTCTACACCAGCTGACCACTTACCTCCATATGGAGGTACTTTTCGCTGTTACCAGTTTGTCCAGTGGCTTCCTGCATACATCAGAGGATCTGAGACACAGAGAGAAGTTGACCATGAAGACGGGGTTCGAGTCTGGTGTAGAACGATTCCAGAAGGCAGGTAAGACAAAAACAAAAGCCAAAAAAAAGAATAAACAAGTAAATAACGGGGTGAGAAGGTGGTAAAAAATCAGGCGAGGGCTTTTCTTTTTCTGGATTGCTTCTGAAAACCATTGGTTGCTTTTGGAGAAGGAGGGAGGGTCAGTCGTCGCTCAGTCAGTCAGTCGACAGCGGCCTCTGGTGGATTTACGTGAGAACAGCATGCGTGAATAGCACTCGCGAGAGAAATATGAGATCTGAAAAAGTGTACACAACGCCCTCTGGTGGATTTGTAAAAACAAAAACTACAAAAACAAATTTAGCTCCTGGGACGTATTTGGCGCTCTCCAGAAACGAATACAGGGCTACATATCCATAATAAACCTGGGTTATATAAATTTGTGTGTATTCATTTGGGACCGCTAATTATTTTTAACATTGTTACTGACTAATCTAATTTATATGCACAAATGTAATTTTGCACAGCCTCCTATAGGAAATATTTATGTAATGGAGTCATTTGTAAGGGTAAACTCTTATATCTTGAGCACACTATATATATATATATATATATATATATATATATATATATATATATATATATATATATATATATATATATATATATGAAGAGTTTAGATGCAAAAACCTCTAAATGCCATCTGAAATTTTATTCTACAATTAGTATTTTTATCAGGCTCTTGTCTGTAAGTTAAGTAAAATCATTTTATGGCATAGAATAAGCCCTTTTTATGGTCTTCAAAGTGAAATATCTCAACATAAACAAGGGTGGCTGAGAAAAATATTCATTTTTGATGGAAATTTCAGACGGCTCTTAGCGTTTTTGCATCTGCACAGCAGCTATAATTATACTCTTTATTTTCTATTTCCACCTGGGGATACTCATCCCAGATATTATGCAGCGCACTTGATGCGATCCAAGACCAGCGACGAGATGATCCCAAGAATTCCATAATCCTGGACCAGGCCGTATCCTGAGCAGCTGCTGTGGTGGTCATGGAGGAGTAGAGGGCATGTGACTGATTCCTGTGACTCTCCAGGGACTGACGAGTCTCGCTGACATCCAGTGTTCTCCAGCCTCCGGCGCCTAGACTGCAGCTCTAAACAAGACGTTTGGCCAGCGGAGAGCTGAGCCTGAGCCTGGTATCTCTCTGGGTTTTTTAATTATTTACTTTTGCCAATTGGTGATGTTTTTCCCTCTCCGCTGTCGCCACTGGCTTGCATAGTTCGGGATCTGTAGAGCTGCGCATCGATGGATTTGCTCCTCAGTGTTTGGACTCTCAGTAGTGATTATATAACCACACTGAACTGAACTGAACTGAACTGAACTCTGAAAACTGAACTGACACGGTTACAATTTACTAAGATCTTCTATGTGAAGCTGCATTGACACAATCTACATTTAAAAAGCGCTGTAGAAATAAAGCTGAATTGAATTGAATGACTGGTTTGAGTGCGTGTGTGTATGTGTGTGTGCATGCATATGTGTGTGATTATCAGCCTATAATAAACGCATGATGGCTGTTCCTCCTGTGAGCTTCTCCATCAGCACTGATCTACAAGTGAAACACACACACAGACTCAGACGTTCCTCATCACTTCAAATTTTCCCTGTATAATTATGAACACACTCACCGTTCTGAAGCTGATTCTGCATCACTTTCTCTTCTTCTGCTGTTTGTTCTTCTTCTTCTGGGGTTTTAGTCCAGCTCAGCGTCATATTGCTGATTCCTCTCTCTGTCAGTGCTGATGTCAGCTGAAATAAGATTAAATATTCATTCGTTCATTTTCTTTTCGGCTTAGTCCATTTATTAATCTGGGGTCACCACAGCAGAATGAACTGCCAACTTATCCAGCATATGTTTTACACAGCGGATGCCCTTCCAGCTGCAACCCAACACTGGGAAACACTGGGAGAACATGCAAACTCCACACAGAAACACCAACTGACCCAGCCGGGACTCGAACTGGTGACCTTGCTGTGCGGCGATCGTGCTACCTACTGCGCAACTGTGAAAATCTATTTTGTAATAATTAAAACTTTTAAATGAATTGCCAAACGAAATGAATTGCCAACCATTCCATCATATGTTTTACACAGCGGATACCCTTTTAACTGCAACCCATCACTGAGAAACACCCATACACACTCATTCTCACACATTCCTACACTACGGCCAGCTTAGTTCATCAATTCCCCTATAGCGCATGTGCTTGGACTGTGGGGGAAACCGGAGCACCGGAGGAAACCCACGCTAACATGGGGAGAACATGCAAACTCCACACAGAAACACCTGACACAGACATCATACATATATATATATATATATATACAACAGTTCTGTCCGGTTCTCGAATCTGATTGGCTGATAGCCGTGCGATATTCTGCAATATCAGAACTCCTACAGCCTCTTTACCCTTTGTGTATTACTCCGCCCACATACAGCCAGCAGAAAGCAGACACTACAGGTCTAAAGTGTAAAAGATGCTTGCTCAGCTGTTTAACTGTCAGCTTATGATTTGAATCCAACGCAGAAGAAAGTAGTTCCTCATAAAAAAGGGTTTTTGAGACTCTCCATGTTTGATTTTGTTTTTACATACACAATTATGCCGTCAAACTGTTGTATAAACGCAATATCACACTCGTAGCAGTGCGATATGACTGTATATCCGCACTGGTGGGAGCACTAACGCACGCCTCCCACCAGTGCCGATATACAGCCATAAAAACTAAATTTATTTCTCACCTTTGAGAGCACATTATGTGTGACTGTCAGGTTTGTCAGGTTAACAGTTGAGTTGAAGGAAATCTTCATGAAGAAGCGTCTGAAAGTGTCTAAGAAAAACAAACAAAATCCATCAGTCACACATGAGCTTTATACTTAAATTTAGATTCAACTAAAGCATCCTGACCATCAGTGAATACATTCATATCTATATGCGTGTCTGAAACGCTGCTGTTTTTGACTGTTTGGCGCCATCTTGTGTCTGAATTAGGTTAGTGCAGGGATGTCCAAACTCCTGGAGGGCCAGTGTCCTGCTGAGTTTAGCTCCAACTTGCCTCAACACATCTACAAGGGTGTTTTTAAAAAGCCTAGTATGAGCTTGATTAGCTAGCCGAGATGTGTCTGATATGGGCTGGAACTTAACTTTGCAGAACATCGGCCCTTCAGGACCGAGTTTGGGCACCCCTGGGTTAGTGTATACTCCAGTTTTCATCATACCTGTCAATACTCCTGTTTTCCCCGCGAGTCTCCTGTATTTCAGACACATCTCCCATTTTGTTCTGTCTCCCAGAAAACTCCCGTAATTTGACCTCCACCCCTCCATCCTAAGCTTTTTGGTGCAGTCTATAACACCCTTGGTTTGCCGGCCTTGGTATAGTATCTGATCACAGTGGCTGCCTGAATCCTGGTGCATAGTACAGACCAGGGACCCCATCCACCCCATCCACCCCCCACCTAGACATCCACCGCCCCCCACCCCCTGGAACCCCCCCTGGTCTCCCGGATTTTTAGAGACAAATGTTGGCAGGTAAGGTTTTCATTTCTGTCAGTTTTGTGTATAATTACTGTATTAATAAACTATTACAGGGTTAAACAATGTTTTGTGTCTAATTCCGTCAATATTAAATTAATGAAATAACTTTTGCAGGGCTTTTTTTAGATTTTGCAGGGCTTTTTTAAGTCTTTTTAGGTTTCAAAGTAACTTGAAAGTATGGTATAATCTGGTCACTTTTTTATATGCCGTTATTACAAATGTAATTAGATTACAAATTCATATAGCAATTAAAGCTGCAAGCAGCAATGATAGGGACCTTGCACCCTGGCTTACCGCTGCCCGGCGGCCTTAGGATGACAGAGAAAAGCAATACAAAACAATAATAATTTAAACTGACTTATTAAGAAATCTGAGAAAATCACAGATTTATGCCAAACTTCCTCCTGTCAGCAGGTGGCGCTATGACTGTGACTCAATGTTGAAAGCTAGGTGCCTTCAGGACAGGAATCTTATGGAATATGCAAATTTTCAGGCAGGTCAGACATTGTGTGGCTGATTTATAAGTCAAAAGTCCTTCTGTCCGCAGGTGGCACTATGTCTGACTGAATATTGGCATGTAGACGTCCTTAGGAGACGAATCGTATCAACCCTGTGAAGTTTCAGGCTGATTGGACTACATGTGGTAGAGTTATAAGTACTCCCTGTTCCATGGCGAAGCACTGAAATTTGTCATGCCGCCACGGAAACGCCCCTCTGTGAAAACTCTAGATCTTCACAATATATCATCACCAGAGCTTTCAGATAACACCACCCAAATTTGGTGCTGATACGATAAAATTTGGTTAAGGAGTATGTTACAATGTAAAACATATAATTTCCTGTGGCCAGCAGGTGGCATTAAAACTGTATCTGGATATCGGCATGTAAACGTGTTCAGGTCAGGACTCTTATCAAGCGTGTGAATTTTGAGGTAGATCGGATAATGCATGCCTGAGTTATAATGACTTCCTTTTTCGTGGCGAATCGTCAAAGTTTACGAGGCTGCCATGGACACACCCATCGACATAAAACTCTAGATCTCCTCAATTTATTATTGCCAAGGCCTTTACATGACAAAACCCAATTTTGGTGTCGATCGGATAAAATCCCTAGGGGAGTTTGTTAAAATACAACGCCTGGAAATGGCGCGAAATTTTCTGCACAGGAAGTTAAAAAATATCCTTCCTGTCGGGTTTGAGATTTCGCTCTAAGAGACTTTTTTGTTTTTGACATGTTTGAGGTGTGTGCCAATTTTCGTACATGTGCGTGAATCATAGCTCAGGGGCTAGTCCGCTAGTGCACAGGTGGCGCTGTCGAGTCATTTTGCCACACCTTCTTCTGAAACCTAAAACAAACGTACATTTTCGCCACTTCTAGGGCGTGTGCGAGGTTTCGTGAGTTTTCGGGCATGTTAAGACCCTGAAAATTGCAATTCATTCCGAAAAAGTAGAAGAAGAAGCGGACATCGGTCATCAGTTCGACACGATTCCTCTCCTGAAGACATCTACATGCCAATATAGAGTCACAGTCACAGCGCCACCTGCTGACAGACAGACGTTTGGCTTATAACTCAGCCACACAATGGCTGTTTCTCAATTCCAAGAACACAGAGAACGGACTTGTGTTCTTCTGGAGACCGGTTTTGCCAGGTGTCCTTGGAAGAACGAACTCAGGAGACCGCGAGGGCAGAGAACGCGTCCTTTGAGAAATGAGATGCTGCGTTCTTCCTGATGATCACATGACCTTCACATCTTTTAAATGGTAAATTATTTAAACATTACAGCCTTCATACAACGATTTATTGTTTTTCCCTTTTTAAAATATATACGTTGCATAAAAACATTATAAATCTATGTTGCACAATATAAATAAAACAGATTTTAATACGAATTTCAGCAAACAAACACCCTTAATGTGTTTATTCCTTTATTAAGATGTTCATGGTAATGTTTACTTTCACCGTTTCATTTAGGGAAACTCCTGAGGTAAATAAGTGATCTCTCTGAACTTTAATAATAAATATAAATAAAACGCAGCGCTTCCCACCTCCAGTCGCAATGACTTCTGGGACTTCCAGAGTGAGTTCGGTGCTCAAGTCTGCATCGGTGCGTCCTCGATATTAAGATCACATTCGGGAAGTTTCACATGTCCTCCGTACTTACGGTCTTGAGTATTGGAACTGAACTTAGGCAGCTGATGATGACGTTGCACGAGAACACGAGGACGCAAGACCGATGAAGAACGCATATTGAGAAACAGCCAATGTCAGATCTGCCTGAAAATTCACATGCTCGATAAGATTCCTGTCCTGAAGGCATCTACATGCCAATATTGAGTCAGTCATAGCGCCACCTGCTGGCAACAGGAAATTACTTATAACACAGCCAAACAATGTCCGATCTGCCTGAAAACTCACAGGTTAGATGAGATTCCTCTCCTGAAGACATCTACATGCCTATAATGAGTCACAGTCATAGCGCCACCGGCTGACAGGAGGAAGTTTGGCATAAACCTGTGATTTTATTAAAAATATTGTTCACTCTTCTCTGTTGTCCTAAGGCCACCGGGAGGCATTGAGCCAGGGTGCAAGGTCCCTTTCATCACTGCTTGCAGCTTTAATTAGTAATTTGTAATCTATTACTTTGTTGAGTAACTTACACTCTTCATCAGTAAGTACTTTGAATTTTAGTACAAAATTATAATCAAGTCATTTTGGAGTCTTTATTGATAATTAATACAGTATGAACTTTTACTCGGCGGTTCATTCCATTGTGGTAACACCTGATAAACCAGGGGAAAAGCCCAATGAAAGTGCATAATGTGTGTACTTTGTCGACCATAAGCGGAGCCATATATTGAGTTATGATATTTTTGCTTAGATGTCTTGTGAAACCCTCGCAACCCTGTCTGGCGGTGTGAATAAAAGGACTTTGCAAGAAACTGTTCTCAAACACTTACAGACAACCGGCAGGGGCTGCTGATCTGTAGAGGGAAAAACACAGAATCACCAATGACAGAAAGAAGAAATAAACAGCCCAAATGAATGAACGTTCTCCTGAATGATCACCTGCATACTCGTATAGTTCCACCTCACACACAGAGAGCATTTCCATAAATCCCCAGATTATGAAGTATTGTCCCTTACGGTTCCCGCAGGAGTAGTTGACGGTGCTGGAGGTTTTATCACTGGTGGTCACGGTGCATCTATAAGACCGCAAAACGCACACTTAATCAACACTGTTCATTGACTTATAGCTGTCTTCACTATAGTGGAAAGAAAACTGAACAAAAATCACACAAACAAAAACCCATGCAGGTGAATGCTCTGTGCTGGTTTTGCTGGATCTTACTGACCTCTGAAACTGTCGATCACTTTACATTAATTAGGGGTGTTTTCACATATCGAGTTCATTTCAAGAGTTCACACTTAGATTCTGTTTGACAACTTGTTAGCAAGTTAGCAGGTTTGGCATGCTGTCCCGGGAGAGAACCCTGAGCTCGGAGATAGTTTAGCCCAGGGCTCCCGCCAGGTCCATAAAGCATGTGAGGGGAGTACGAGGTCAGGTGTTCTCGAGAGCTCCCCTTGGCAAAAGAGGAAAGGAGGAGAAAGGGGTGGATGGGGGGTTTCTTCGGAAAACGAAGATAAGGGAGTAGTTCTTAGCTAGGTTACTTATAGTGAGTTTGGATCAATCCGATTGGCTAGCCAATGAGTGTAGATTAGTGGCCAGCTGCAATCAATCATATCACGTGCTCCTCTCGAAATTAGTTTGTGAAACTTCATTTAAAGGGCACCTAGTGCTAAAAAAGGGTCACACTTTATTTTGATGGTCCATTTGGTCTGCTTAACAGTGCCAGCCCATTCTACAGGCAATATAGGCAGCCGCCTAGGGCATTTCTTGGAGGGGCCCATAAACACTGGTCTTATATTATATTTACTGTGAAAGTAAGCAGGAGTTCGATCGCAAACGTTTAAACCCACAAGCAATTAGTGATGTGTGGATCAATACTAAAATATCGATATCTCCGATACCAACTTTGTATGGATCTTTATACTTCTTCTTTGACTCTTGGCGAAGGCGCTCACACTTTTTTCCTCTCCGTCTCATATCTCTCCTGGCTGGCTCCTGTAGTCTCATCTTATTCTATCTCTGAGGTTCTCCCTCTCCTGCTATCCAAACGAAAAAGGAATTATGGATTTGATCAGCTGGTCTCTGAATGCGATTGACACCATCTTCTCGACGAGAAGTCGGGAGAGCCAACTTGTCCTGCAGGGACGAATGCAGCTGGATATGTGATGGATGGGTGGGAGAAGTGGCGCGTCGTGTGCCTGGCTGCTTTGTCCCTGGAAGATATTGAAGATTTCTATCTATAGGGAACTTTGATAACAGGGTTTCTGCTGATGGGCTTAGGCAGGACCCTGGGGTGTCAACGATTGGTGAAAGCGGTCTGTGCTGCTCAAAACCCCAACAAGCTGGCCGGCTTGATTGAAACGGTGGTGTGCAGGGTCGCTACTAATCAGACTGTGGTCTTAGATTGCAAATTGGAAAACATCAGAGGGGAAACTATTGGCTTTGCAACAAGATTTGGCCAGGAGATGAGTGACGGACATTAAATATCTGTGAAATTGGTAGATATTAACCTAAAGTTGAAGTACTTTTCTTCTCTTTCAGCTTCCCTGTGTTTTTCCTGCCAGACAGCCTCGGCTGGAGACAAGCAACTTCCACCGGATAGCAAGATAAGGAGATGCTCTGAATTCCTGCTCCCAGTCAAGGACACCTGCTTGACTCTACAGGCTTACACACACACAGATAGACAATCACCACCTAGCCCCGCATCCCACGCCTTTGTTTGCTTTCACCCACTGGAGGGGGTAGGCGGGTCTGTGACCAGTGCACCCTGGCTGCAGGACCAGATGGCTGCCCGCCCTCACCGGACTTGTCCACATCCCCTGTTCCTATCCCCTGTTGCAATGTTATGTCTGTGTTTATGTGCTAGAATGGGTCCTAGCTGGGTCCTTTTTCTCCCTGATCTCATACTAACCTAATTCAATGGTAATGTGAGAGGGAGTTTTTTCGCCTCTCTCCCCATGTATCTATTTCCCTTTTTCTAAACGCTATCTCTCTTTGACCTGTCTTCCCCTGAAATGTGATGTTTGTTTATGATCGGGGGTCCAATTTCACTAACATGAATGTGTATGTGACAAATAAAGGCTTAATTGGTTGATTGGTTGATTGATTGATTGATTGATTGATTGATCAGCTGATCGTCGTTGTCGTTTAACATCAGTGTCTGTGTCACTGTCTATTGAACAGTACAAGAGCCGGGCTGACCATTAGAGCCAATCACAGTCATTTCTGTAGAGTGAGCGATCAATCACAGTCATTTAATGCTGTGAGTTGGAGCTAAACTGCAGAGCAGTGGCTCTCCAGGAATTGAGTTTAGACCCTCTTCTGTTTTTTTTTTATTTATTTATTTACTTATTTTTTATGCTTCCTCTAAGAAAGATTAGCAGTAGTTATAATAAAGTAATATACAAGTATAATAAAGTTGCTATGCTGATAATTACGTATTCGTACTTTGTGACAGCTGAGGATTTTAGTCTCCATTAATAAATGAATAGCTGACTGTTTTCTGCAACTTAATCCTGATAAGACTGATGTTAAATTTTGGTCCAGATAGCGTCACCCCAATTTAGACCAAAGTATTTCTGTCCATCATTAAATTGCAGTGACATTAGAAATCTGAGTGTCATCTTAGATAGAGCTCTATGTTTTAATAGTCATATTGAGTCTGTTGTTCGCACATGGTTTTTTTCCATCTTAGGAAGATTGCAAAAATGTGGTATCAATAGAAAAGATGGAGATGCTTGCCCTTGCCTTTATCTCCTCAAGGCTCGACTATTGTAATGTTCTGTACACTTGTCTGAACAAATCGTCTGCGGAGCAATATAAATAAATTTTGTTTACTTGCTACTGAATTATGAGTAAAGTTTTAATGAACAGAGTAATAGCCAACCCAGGCTCATACTGAAAACGTACCATTATTAACATTTCTTGAGAATGCCAAACACATCCCAGCTACGATTTTTTTTTTTTTAGTTTTTAATTTTGCGAATCCAACTTAGGCTGCTGTGTACGCTTTTTCAGATCTCAAACTTCTCCCACGAGTGCCATTTGCGCTTGCTGTTCTTACGTAAATCCACCAGAGGCTGCTGCCGACTGACTGACTGACTGACTGACCGTCTGACCCACCCTGCTCCTTCCCTAAACCCAACCGATAGTATTTTCAAAAGCACCGATTGACCGATGGCCAACCCCTTTCCTAAACCCAACTGATAGTTTTCTAAAGCAATGCAAAAAAATAAAATTACGGGAGCGCTACATTATGGGAGCGTCTTAGAGAAATTACACAGACACAATATAAAATATAAATATATAAAATATAAAATATAGATATAAAATTTAAATAATCCAATAAACATTATTTATCAACATTAGATGTAGCAGAGAAATTCTAAACCCATCAGGAAAATAAATAAAAAGAAACAATAATGTCAACAAAAATCCTAAAAAGCGAAGTGTAATGCAGGGAGATCAGGGAAAGTCAGTATGCGACTATTCTTAACGTACTGTTAACCAGGTTACAGGTTTATACTGTAGATTATTTAGATTTACTTAATCATTAAATCATAGATGTTTATAGCACACACATCTAAATCACTTACTTGGGATTGTTGTATCCATCGAATTCAAGAGAGCTTCCGAAGTTCACCGTGACTGTCTTGTCTGGAAAGCTGTCCTCTCTGTAAGTGACCGTGGCAGTGCTCACTTGATAGACAGCCTGCAGATCCACCTTAAGCCATGGGAAATTTTCCCAGGTAGTAGCAGCGCATGTAGTTGATAATGTGGAGAAATTCTTGCCTCCATCGATGGCGTTGTTCGCGACCCACAGAGAACTGATTGTGCTGATCTGAGAGGCTTTGGCTTTTTGTGCCAAATTCACTGAAGATAAAAAGAAACGTTGATCAATACTTGTACAATATTCATTAACATACCTGCCAAACACTCCCATTTTTCCCGGTAGTCTCCCGTATTTCAGACCCATCGCCTGTCACCCTCCCATTTTGTTATTTCTTACGGAAAACTCTCGTAATTTTTACCATTCCCCCCAGGTTGCCAACATTGGTATAGGATCCGATCGCAGTGGCCGCCCAAAACATGCTTCATAGTACAGTTATATACACTGCAGTACCCGATTCTCAACAGTCAACAGTGTTATTCAGACACCTCACCCCTTAAAGCCTGGTTTATACTTCTGCGTCAAGTGACCGGCGTAACCTACAGCGCAGGCAACGCGCGCAGCTGTGCATTTATACTTCTGCTGCTGTCTCTGTTGGGCTGCATTAACACTTCCAAAACACTAGTGGGCAGTGAGGTGTTAATGTTTCTCTGTGTCGAGTTTCTTCGCTGGTGTTTTGCTTTTCCTGAACACTTCCTGAATGTACAAGTGGCTCAAACGCGCTCATTTTGAGACAGGAACCGGCAGACGTGCAACAACTTTTACTATGAGGTAAACACAAAACAAAACTTTCCATCCGGAGCTCCATCACGGGACTCAACACTTGTAAACAATCGCTCCATCAGGCTTGCGCCATTCGCGTGGCTCTCGGTCCCGCCCAGACTCGTCAGAGCTACCAAGCTGACCAATCACAGAGCTTGCGCTAGGTGTCGTTGCGACGTGTAGTTACATTTTTTGAGAGGTGGACGTCAGCGCACTGACGGCTACAGCGTAGGGCTTTGTGTCAACGTCGTAGCATACGCATGCGTTTGACGCAGAAGTATAAATCAGCCTAAACCTGTCTGGCATTTCAGCCCAGTAATGCCATCAACTATTAACCTGACAAAATGTATTTTAAAAGTTAGGATTTTAGGCAACACGGTGGCTTAGGGGTTAACTCTGTGGCCTCACAGCAAGAAGGTCGCTGATTCGAGTACCGGCTGGATCGGTCCCACTATGCTTGGAAAACTTCACAGCAGGAGGGTGACGGGTTTAGCTGCTGTGGTGTATTCCATACAGTCTCCTATAGTCTGTTACCAGACACACGTTATATGGGAGAGTGGGGCACTTTTTGGTTTTGGTCAAATAATGAACAAAGTAGTGTTATTAGACCAGTGTTTTTCAACTGGTGGGTCGCGACCCAAAAGTGGGTCGTGGGAACATTTTCAGTGGGTCACGGAGTGTGTGGTCAAAAAAACTAAATTTGAATTTTTAACTTATTTTGACTTTTATTTTGAAATGCGTTTGCAACAACCTTACTGTTAGACATGTGAAATTTCATTTACATTTACATACATTTACATTTAGTCATTTAGCTGACGCTTTTTTCCAAAGCGACTTACAAATGAGGACAAGGAAGCAATTTACACAACTATAAGAGCAACAATGAATAAGTGCTGTAGGCAAGTTTCAGGTCTGTACAGTCTAAGAAGGAAAGTATTAGTAATATTTTAGTAATTTAGTAATTTTTATTTTATTTTATTTATTTTTTTTGTAGTACAGTTAGTGTGATATTCAGAGAGGCAATTGCAGATTAGTAAGGAAAGTGGAGACTAAATAGTTGAGTTTTTAATGGTTTCTTGAAGACAGCGAGTGACTCTGCTGTTCTGATGCAGTTAGGGAGTTCATTCCACCAACTGGGCAGATTGAATGTGAGCGTTTGCGAAAGTGATTTCTTCCCTCTTTGGGATGGAACCACGAGGCGACGTTCATTCACAGAACGCAAGTTTCTGGAGGGCACATAGATCTGCAGAAGTGAGAGCAGATAAGAAGGAGCAAAGCCAGAAGTCGCTTTGTAGGCAAACATCAGAGCTTTGAATTTGATGTGAGCAGCAACTGGCAGCCAGTGCAAACGGATGAGCAGCGGAGTGACATGTGCTCTTTTAGCTTCATTAAAGACCACTCGTGCTGCTGCGTTCTGGAGCAGCTGAAGAGGCTTGATAGAGTTAGCTGGGAGCCCGGCTAGTAGAGAGCAACAAATTATAATTATATATAATTATAGCAACAAATATGTCGAAGCACAAGTACGACCCCAAATATGTATGGATTTACATATATTGATGACAAAAAAGACTGAACCTTTCCTTACCCTAACCACTGTTCACAGTATTTGTCATTTTTACTTTGTAATATTTCTATAATTTGATCCCTTTTCTTAAATGACAGCAATAAAATATTGTTTATTTGTAAGTCTTGGTGAATTTCTTATGATGTTTCTGTCACTACTTGTGTATGTTAACAAACAAATACAAATTAAGTATAATTCCTAAAATTGTATTATAGCCCCTAAAAATTTGGGTCGCGGCTTGATGACCATGTCAAAATGTGGGTCCCATGGGCAAACCAGTTGAGAACCCCTGGATTAGACAAACCAGATTTTTCACCAACAACACACACAAGCCTCTCCTACAAATGAGCACTGGTTGTATGATCACTGGACCTATGGTTTCTGTGCAGTGTTGGCAAAAGTGCCAGGAGTAAAACTGTGACTATTTACCCCACCTGCGGGGCAAGTTGTAACAGACAGATTTCACAAAGTCAATTGAAAACCAGTTTACTTTAAATAGTAGCTGTAATTCTTCAGTACACAAAAAAATCAACTAGGCATGTATTGGATTTACAAAATAAAAATTTGTCAGATTGAAAAGAACAAATCAAGTTTACGTATGTTAAATGATTAATTCATGTTATTTGAAACTGAATCAAGAAATAATCAAATGAGTTTGATCAGAACATGCTGATTCAATGAGACTGAGACGCTTCAAATCGACAACTCTCACTCTGGAGAGTCACTTCGCGCATATCAGTAGGTGGCGGTAGTGCGTTTGGATGTCACCATACGAAAACAACAAGAAGAAGTATCACCGCGTGTTTTCGGCACAGTTTGGGAATTGGTTTTCCCAAGAGCTTGAATGTTGTGCATGTTATGTTGTTGGCTAAATGTTTCCTGTACATTTTATACTTTTACATTTTGAATAGGAGTACCAAAGTGAAGAAAGCTGTTTAAACTCAATTGGTAAAAAAATGATGTTAACGTCCTACAGGTATTGCTTGGGGATCAGTTTTCTTAAGAGCCGAGGTTATTTTGTTGGCTAAATGTTTCTTATACATTTTATATTACATATTACAATTTTAGATATTATATAACATTTTGTATAAGAATATTAAAGAAGAAATTTGTTTAAATGTGATTGGTGCCTGCTAAAGGCTATAATAAAAGATATATATATATATATATATATATATATATATATATATATATATATAAAACATGTTTTCTGTCCTTTTTGTGTTGAATTAATTCATTTTAAATCTTGCTTCATAGTATTGTCATTTAAAAAATGTAATTTAAACAACAGGGCGAGGCAGTGGCGCAGTGGGTAGCACGTTCGCCTCAAAGGTTGCTGGGTCGCTGGTTCGAACCTCGGCTTAGTTGGCGTTTCTGTGTGGAGTTTGCATGTTCTCCCTGCCTTCGTGTGGGTTTCCTCCAGGTGCTCTGGTTTCCCCCACAGTCCAAAGACATGCGGTACAGGTGAATTGGGTAGGCTAAATTGTCCGTAGTGTATGAGTGTGTGTGTGAATGTTTCCCAGATGGGTTGCGACTGGAAGGGCATCCGCTGTGTAAAAAAAACTTGCTGGATAAGTTGGTGGTTCATTCTGCTGTGGCGACCCCGGATTAATAAAGGGACTAAGCTGACAAGAAAATAAATGAATGAATTTAAACAACAATACTGAACAAGAAATTTACTAGCTGATTTAACAAGACATAATTTTGTTAAAGTAAAGCTTTAGTGTTACATTGAGTAAATTAGAATCATTTTAATTAGAATAACACAATACAAACATTTTGAGTCGATTAGTTGCAAAGAAGTTATGATATATTGAAACCATGTTTTATCTACAAATGTGCTTTGTTTTCATACAACATGTTCAAAGCAGTTCAGGTTTACTTGATTGGATTAGATGCATAAAGGGTGCCACGATTAAATCATGTTCATTCAACAGTTTGTTTTTATGAGTGTAGCTGTTTTTTAAGACTTCACTAAGTTATGTAAACCAGAAAAGTTGGAAGTCAAGTTATTGTATAACTGGTTTGTTGTGTAGACAACATCAAAAAAATATACAGTACATATTTTTTTAAGCAGGCCTATAATACTGACCTTAAACTAGTTTTTTGTAACATTAAAAACAGTTTTTATTCAATACAAACTGTAAGAATTAAGACTTATTATGACTCCAGAATGATTATTTATTGTTTTATAGGAAATAATGTGAACATCTCCTTGTCAGGGTTCTGCCACTCTGGTCTGGTGAATTCTTGTTTTGGTGGCAGAGCTCGGACACTAGCTCTGTCTTGTCCTGTTTCTGTCATTGTGTGTCTCTGTGTGCGCGCGCCGTCGTGGGTGTACGCAGAGTGTGCGCGCTCCTGCTTGATGCGGGCTCTGCGTGCCTCGGACGTGCGCGCTCTTGTACTCGTGCTAGTGTTCGTCTGTCTGCAGCGTGGTGTTTCATTCCCAGCGTCTCAGTCTAGTTGGTTTCGGTTTTGGTCGGCGCTTGCATGTGTGAGCACACGGTGAGTGTTTTCATTCATCGTGTACTCGTGTCTTGCGTTCAGTCTTCTGTTGGTGTTGTTTAGCATGTGGTGCTTGTCTACATGCACCGCGTGCTTGTGTTGTCATGAACACACGGTTAATGAGTTCTCTCACTGGCTTGTTTTCAAGAGTTCAAACTTAGCTGATAATCAATAAAGCGTATTTGGTATGCTGTCCCGGGAGAGAGCCCTGAGCTCGTAATATCCTCAAGCGCAGGGCTCCCTCCCGTTAGAAGGGCGAGAGGGGAATTCGAGGTCAGGTAGGTCTCGAGAACTCCCCTGCTTGTCACCGTGAGAAGTGTAAACTCAGGTTGTATTGGGTGATAATTTGTTTTAGTCGATTGGCTATGGTTTATGTTTTTGGACGGTGTGAGGAAACCGCGGAACCCCCACACGAACACGGGGAGAACATGCAAACTCCACA